CCCGCCTCTCCCACCCTCACCCCTTCCCTGGTGCTCCCTGCTCAGCCGACACAAAGACCACTGGAGCTTGGGTGGTGGAGCGTGGGTAACTCTGCAGGGCCAGGGCGGCTCTCTGTTCCACCAGGGCCACCATTTCTGCTACAGAGAGCAGGTCTACATCATCCCCGGATGTCGTGGGGGCCCCCTCAGTGGCAGGGGCTCCTCCTCTGCCCCCTGGGTCTGGGGCAGCCTTGGTGGGCTCAAGGCAGCGCCTCCTCCTCTTGGCTTTGGAGCTATCACTGCCCCAGTGCCCTTTGACCTTCATAGAGCTGGCCCGGCTACCTCCACCACACTGGTGGGCCACAAAGAAGGCCACCTTCTCCTTTGTATTTCCAGGCTTGATGACATACCACGTGTCCAGCAGGACGCGACCCTCGTCGCCAGCGGCTGCTGAGGAGGGGAGTGGAGCATGCTGGGAGGCGGGGGTGTCTGAAGACAAGGCAGGTGGTGTGTTCTCTGATTGTGCAGGTCCGTGGTCAGGCTCAGTCCCACCGCTTGTGTCAGAACAGGCTGGCGGCTTGAGGGCTGTGGAAGGCGGGCGCTGCTGGTTCTGGGAATATGTGCCAAAGGGTCTGGGGCACCAGAGCTGGAAGGGCAGGAGGCTGCTCCTGTCCATGCTGGGAGGCAATGGTAGACGACAGGCGAGTCACTCAATCTCAGGACCAGGATGGTAGCAGGGAGCTCCACATGCCACCTGGAGACACAGAAGGTGGGAACACTGTTGTGGAATAGTACCACCTAATTGGTTTAATAAAGAGCTGAACGGCCAATAGCAAGACCGCAGAAAGAGAGTGGGGACTGGCAGGCAGAGAGAATAAACAGGAGAAATCCGGGAAAGAAGAAAAGACCAGGGAGCAAGAGAAGGAGAGGACTTCTAGATGCCCAGGGTCACAGGCCCGAGCACCTGTTGGCAGCATCCTTAACAGCCTTTCTTTTTTGTTTTGCATGACTTTGCACACATTAGCTAATCTCAAGGCTGACTTTTGTTTTTTTAATTTATCATGTATACAGTGTTCTGTCTGCATGTATCCCTGCAGGCCAAAAGAGGGCACCAGACCTCATTACAGACAGTTGTGAGTCACCGTGTGGTTGCTGGGAAGTGAACTCACGTCCTCTGGAAGAGCAAGCAGTCAATGCTCTTAACCTCTGAGCCATCTCTCCAGCCCACTGGAGGCAGATTTTTTTTTTTTTTTAATGAGTCTGATGGTAGCACTATCTGTTTGACTTTCTACTTACCAGCAAGTAGCAAATGCCTGGTCTCCATCTTTGGCTCATCTCCTTCCCGACATCTCAGTATAAGCCTCCAACAGCGCATGGTGATCAGTGCCTATAATCCCAGATCTCAGGAGGCTGAGGCAAAAAGATGGAGAGTTCCAGGTCAGCCTGGGCTACACAGCCAGTCCTTGTCTAGAAAGAAAGAAACAAATAAGTAAAAGGAAAACAAAGCCCGTCACAAAATAAACCCCGAACATGCCAATGGATCAGAGAGGTAAGTAAACTAACTACATGCCAAGAATTAAACCCAGCCCGCTGTCTGTCTTTGCAAATTAGATTTTATGGAAAATAATTATGGCTGCTTTCACCCCAAAGAAGCAGAGCCGCATCAATGATTATATGGCCTGGAATAATTCGTTACCTAGTCTTTTATAGAAAAAGTTAGCTTGCTGGGCAGTGGTGGCTCACACCTTTGATCCCAGCACTGGGGAGGCAGAGGCAGGTGGATCTCTGTGAGTTCGAGGCCAGCCTGGTCTCCAGAGAGAGTGCCAGGATAGGCTCCAAAGCTACACAGAGAAGCCCTGTCTCCAACCCCACCCCCCAAAAAATGCAATCTCAGCACCCCCCAAAAAGAAAAAGTTAGCCGACGCTGTAGGACAGACTCCCTGCTCTAAATCCAGGCAAATCTGACACACTAGTCCTGGAGATGCCATTTGAAACTCTGCCTCCAAACAGTCGTCATGGACAGGACCCCAATCTTAAGAATCCTTACTCTACCCCACCCTCATCTCCAGAATCTTCATTCCTTCCCTCAAGCATTCAGACATTTTCAAATTCTGCTTTAAAATTCCAACCACCCCGACTGGAGAGATGGCTCAGAGGTTAAGAGCACTTCCAGCGGTCCCGAGTTCAATTCCCAGCCACCACATGGTGGCTCACAACCATCTGTAGTGAGATCTGGTGTCCTCTTCTGACCTGCAGGCAGAATACTGTGTGCATAATCCATAAATCTTTAAAAAAAAATTTCAACTCCTCCCCAAGACCCTACACCAAGCTTGGTGGCACATGCCTGTAATCCCAGGACTTGGGAGGCTGGGACATGTGACAGGACGATAAGGAGAGAGTTCCAAGTTTGCCTGGGCTATATATAAAGAACCTGTGTTAAAAAAAAAAAAAGTTGCAGGCCTTTAGTCTCAGCACTTGGGAAGTAGAATCTGCAGGCTGATCTCTGTGACTCCAAAGCCATCCTGGTCTATGCATCTAGTTCTAGGCCAGCCAGGGTTTCAGAGACACCCTACTCTGTCTCACAAATAAGTAAGAATGGGGGCTGAAGAGATGGCTCCGCGGCTAACAGCACTTGCTGCTCTTGCAGAGGGCAGCACCCACAGGGTGGCTCTCTGTAACTGCAATTCCAGAGGATCCATCTGGTGGTCTCTGCCGGCCGCAGACACACAGGCAGGCAAAACGCAACACAAAACTTCAGGGAGAAAAATCAAAATAATAAATCAGTG